CAACCAAGACTCTTCCTGTGGCTTTTCTTCCTCTCGTTCCTCCTCAATTTCCAACAGAAGAATTTCCTTACCTTTGCACTTGTGGCCTGGCACAAATTTCTCGTTGCACGTAAAGCACAAGCCTTTTTCTCTTCGCCTTTGTATTTCATCATTCGTCAGCCGTCGATAGTTGCTCATGGTGCGTGTACCTTCGCCGACTGTAGGTTTGATCTCGGCCCGTGGGGGCGTATCATCGACCGCGACGCTCGCGCGCCGAACGTTCGTGTGCCCCTCGCTTGGTCTGGCCCTGCGCACTGCCGCGAGATGATCCTCGTGCAGTCACACTGCTTCCATTGCGGCCCTTGTTGACCTTGGCCTGTCCAATCGTACCTCTGCAGCCAACTCAGCCTTCAAGCCTCCAACAAATGCACCAACCAGTGCACTCTCTGGCCAATCGCGTACCCGGCTTGCTATCCTCTCAAACTCCTTTTGATAGTCGCGTAGACTACCGGTTTGGCGGATCCTTGTCAATGCCTCATCATAATCAAAATAATCACTAGATCCGAACCTGGAAATCAGCTCCTTCTCAAAGTCTCGCCATCTGATTTGCTCGCCTTTGTTCTTGTAAACATGTGACACCTATTGCCACCATGTGTTGGCTTCACCATCCAAGTAGTAGGCAGCAATTTGAACTCTTTCAGACTTGTGTACCTCATTGATCTCGAAAAATTGCACGGCACGACTTAACCATGCATCCGGATCTACTCTTTCGAACGTCGGCATCGTGATCTTCGGTTTCGCACGTACGTGCTCCCCGCGATGATGCCGATGGCCGTGTGTCCTGCGATCGCCGTGGTGTCGGGTAGTGCACGTCGCACGCGTTCCCCACGACCGTTCGTCGTCGTCATCGCGACTAGACGTCGAACTGCCCGTTCTCGCCAAGGTTGATCTCGATGTGCGGCTCCTCCGCGTATGGTGGTTGACTCTCTCGAGTTGTCCCGCCAAGTCGTGTATCATAAGCTCCAACTTTTCCATGTTTTCATTGACCACGTGTTGTCCGTTGTCAAGGGACCTCACGCTTTCTTCAAGTGCATCGAATCTCTCACGATTCGTCATGACTCTCTCTCTTTTTTTTTAAGACTCTATAAAAATTATTCGAACAAAAGTCGAATCCAAAAAAAAGAAACAAAAGAAATTCGGCCCCTCAACAAAAGGTAATAACCGAAAAAAATCAAACAAAAGGACTAGATGACACTTTTTTTTTTTACTCACGAAATTTTTCGAAAATTAAGGGATAAAATTCGAAAAACTCGAACAAAAAGGAACCAAAAATTCGAACCAAAAAAGAAAAAGAATGGGATAAAAAAAGTTAACGAACACACAATCAATCACTCTCAATGAAAGCACCAATGATGACGGATCGTGTGTTGCCTTCCCTCGACTTGTCTCGATCACGACTTCGCCACGGCCTTGCTCTCGACGATAGGTGTGATCGACTCGGTTATTAGCCTAACTGTCTCACGATACTTGAGTTCACTCGGGTCTTAGCCTCGCTCCCTCTTTTGAACTAGCTCGGGTCTTAGCCTCACTAACTCGATTGAACTAGCTTGGGTCTTAGCCTCACCAATTCGGTTGCATGATCGAACTTTCACGAATCCTAACACACGGTTTCGAACAAACGTTCTTTTCTATTCAACTCATCAATTCTATACTCTAAAACAATGAGGGGAGACCCCTATTTATAGATCCTAACTATGACTAATTCTAATCT